GAGAGAGAGAGAGCGAGTGAACAGGGAAGGGGCAGGGATGTAAGAAAATTCCAAGCAGGCTTCGTGCTGTCAGCACGTTTGGAAGCACAAGTTTGTAAACTTTGATTTAATCCAGTTTATCAATTTTTTCTTTAGTCACTTGTGCTTTCTTTGTTGTTGTTAACTTTTTTTTTTAACATTTATTTATTTTCGCGAGACAGAGAGAGACAGAGCCGGAGTGGGAGAGGGGGACACAGAATCTGAAGCAGGCTTTGAGCCGTCAGCACAGAGCCCGATGTGGGGCCCGAACTCACGAACTGCCAGATCATGACCTGAGCTGAATTCGGACGCTTAATTGACTGAGCCACCCAGGAGCCCCTTAAATTTTTTTTAATGTTTGTTTATTTTTGAGAGAGAGAGACAGAGTGCAAGTTGGGGGGGGAGGGGCAGAGAGAGAGGGAGACAGAGAATCCAAAGCAGGCTCCAGGCTCTGAGCCATCAGCACAGAGTCAGATGTGGGGCTTGAACTCATGAACCACGAGATCGTGACCTGAGCTGAAGTTGATGCTTAACTGATTGAGCCACCCAGGCGCCCCTCGTCAGTCATGCTTTTGATGTCCTGAGGAGGCTTTGTCTGACCCAAGATCATGAAGATTTACTCCTGTGTTTTCCTCCAGGAATTCTTTATTTTTTGCTTTTATATTTGGTTCTGGGATCCACTTTGAGTTGATTTTTGTGTATGGTGTCCAGTATCAGTATTTTGTACATAGATATCTAGTGGTCTAGCACCTTTTTTGGATACTCATTGCATTTTTAGGAGTGTCAAAAAATTAACATTTATAAAGCAGTTGGAAGTACATGGGGATGCATAGCAGCACTGAGTAAATACCATTACTATTTTATCATTTATTATATGGAGTTGTCATATATCTACTTGTCTTTCTTCCTCAAAAGACTGTCTTTATCTCTGTGCCTATGTGCCTTGCCTGGTGCCTGACAGACAGTACCTGCTGAGTGGATTTTGGTGAATGGATGAATGATAAATAGAGCCTCTCTGCCGAGGCCGTCAGGTGGTAAAGCACAGTGGCAACACTGACCTTCTGCTGGGCTTGGCTTGGGTCCCGACCAGAGGGCCTCTCGGAGTGAGAGCACCTTGACGGTATCTGCCTCAGGGCATCTCCCCAGAGCATGCGACGTGCACCCCTGGGTCCAGATCACCCTGCGGCGCTAGGGTCTCTTCAGCCCAGTTTGCATTCCTGTGTCACCCTCCTCCCTGTTTGCTCCCCCTCCTCCTGTTCCCGAGCAAGAGCTCAGAGAATGGAATCCCTCCTGAAAATCAGCTGCAGCCAGGTCTCCTCAGCTGTGTCCTTTGACTTCCAACCCCTCAAGGCTGAGGGTGCAAGGCTCACTCCCAGCCCCTAACCAGTCTCCATTCACACTCTTTTCCCACGTGGTCTCATCTAATGTAATGGCTCTAAGTACCGAATAAGGGTTGGCGGCTCCCAAACCTGTTACTCCCGCCTTTCTGAGATCCAGGCTTCCATTTTAATTGTCCCCTTCATGTCTCATTCTAGAGATCTGACAGGTGTCTCTGACTTAACGTGACCAACACAGACTTCCTCCCACAAACATATATTCCTCTCACAGGCTAACTCCTCTCCGTAGATGGCTCTGTAAATTCTCCAGTGACCGAAGTAAAAGCTTGGGACCCATCCTTGATTGCCTCCTTTTCTCTCACTCCTTTCATCAGGCAAATCCTGCCGAATCTGCCTTCAAAGTGCGCCAGCATCTTGTCCCTGCTCCCCGCCTCTGGTGCTCGCAGGTGAGAGCAAGTTGGCACCTGCTTGTGCCGGGCCTCATGCCGTAGCCCCTGACTGCTCTCCTCTACCCTTGCCCCTCCCCACTTCCAGCCTGCAAGTCCTGGTCCACGGGAGCTGTTTAAAACCAGATTAGGTCATGCTGCTCCCTTGTTTAAAATTCTCTAATGGCTTTCTATTACGTTAGGATAACATCCCAGTTTCTTACCATGACCAGCATGGCTTTCTTGATCTTGTCTTTTAAACCGAAGTTGACGTTTTTACCAAGTGCAAAGATTTCACGATGGGAGATTTCAGAGTGAGCTGCTAGTTCACAGTATTCAGGTTCTCAAAGAAACTGGACATAAACCTCTTCCTTAACTCCTGAAACCCTTTGATAAAATGAAAGGGTTAGACGGTAGAAGAGAGGGGACTTTGTGAGGAAGAAATATTTGGAAAAGCTGGGTAATGAAGCCCACTCCATCTTGCACTGAGGAGGACTTACCGCAAACCCGGTGGTGCCCCAGAGCCCCCCTGGGGCCACTCTCCGAGCGTGCTGTGTCACTGCTTCAGTTGGGAGGGGTAGCGGGCTAAGGAAACTCTTGCTCCCGCTGGGGGAGTAAGATAATGAGACACCAGCAGACCAGCTAACTTTCGAGGCAGAGTCAGGAGAATGTGGCCACATTTGGACTGTGGGGGCAGGGCTGGGGCACCAGCTTTGGGCCCCAACGGAGAGAGCATATGTGTGCAGGTATCTTGAGGTTTGACCAGTAGGGCTGTCTAGTGGGGTAAGGAAATGCCAGCAGCAGTAATTTGGTGGAAAATGTCTAGGAGTTGAGTAAGGAGTCCTAAGAGATCACCCAAAATAGACATGCTTTCTCCCCATCAGAGGGGCTTGTAGGAGAGTGCCCGGCGGGGAGTCTCCAGAGCTTTGAAGTTACCCGTGAAGGATCATCAGCATTTAACACATGCCAGGCCTGGAGAGTACAAGGCTTTGGTTCGAGTCCAGGCAAGACCCTTCCCACCCCTTTTCCAGTCTCCATCTGCAGTAGCCAATGCCATCTTGTTAGGTAGTATTCATACATTGGACAGAAATGCCCAGTTTCTGGTCTGAGGTGGTTTTGTGGCTTGAAGTGATCTTGGGACAACTTAATTGATAAGAGTGAATAGTCATGTGGCCTCTGGGAGTTCTTTTTCTCTGGCAGGAGAAGGTTCTCCCACTGGGTAAAATTAGAAGAAATGGTAGAAGAGAATGAATAAAATCGTGATTTGATAATATGAGTTCAGCCAGCCATACATGGCAAAGGCTCTACTCACTGGGGCCCCTCAGCCCACGTCACCCCTGAGAATGCCCTCCCCAGCCTGTAGGTGTGAAGGAGCAACTTCTCCCCCTCCAGCTATTCTCCAGCAGCCTTACTCTCTGTCCTGTTTTCTTCAGAGCGCCGATTACAGCGTGAAGGTGTCGTGTTCGTGTGTGCTTATTGTCAGTTACCTTCCATTGGACTGCAAGTTCCATAGAAGCAGGAGACCCACCCACCTCTTTGGTTCACTTCTCTATCCCCCATAATAGGAACCCAGTGTATATAAGTGCTCAGTAAGTATTTGTTGAGTGAATGAGTAAAAACTCTATGAGTTTACTCATAGAAAAAAATGCATGTTCACCCAACTTCAGTGAGATCTCTCTGTTGTGGATTATTCATTTTAGTATAATTATACTTTTATGCTGTGATAGTGACAACTTTCACATTATTTGTATGACTATTTTTCTTAGTTGACTCATGACAAAGTCACAATCCAAAAGGACACACTTACATGAAAAAATACTCTTGATTTTTTTCAAACAAATATGGAGAAAGGACAGATTTGAACTAGTAAATAGGAAACATTTGGCCGTGGATCACTTTGAATGTTTTCATTCAAGACGATATTTCTGCTTATTATTTTTAAGTTTATTTATTTATTTATTTAGAGAGTTGGGGATGGAGCAGAGAGAGAGGATCCCAAGTAGTCTCTGCCCTGTCGGCTCAGAGCCCATTGCAGGACTCAGTCCCACAAACTATGTGATCATGACCTGAGCTGAAATCAAGAGCCAGATGCCTAACTGACTGAGCCACCCAGGCACCCTCCCTGCAATAGTTTTGCCTTTTAATGTGGTCTCATAGGGATCTCTCTTTAACGTTGGTGTTGGAGGACAGGACAGCACACCTGCCTTATAAGCTATGGTGTCTCATTGTGGCAGATAGACTCTAAGATGGTTCCCCATGACCCCCAACTTTGGTATCTGTACTTTTTTGTAACCCACACCATTTGAGTGTCCCTGAAGACTGTGACTTTCTTCTAGCCAATAGAACAGGGCAAAAGTGATAGGCTGTCACTCCTGTGATTATACTACACAGTAGGACTCCATCCTACTGGCCAGCTCCCTTTAGGGACTCTCTTTGCTGGCTTGATGCAGTAAGGTGCCATGTTGAACTGGCCCACTTGGCAAAAACAGCCAGTGGCCACCAGGATCTGAGGGAGCCTTCAACTGAGACCCAGCAAGAAGCAGATGCCCTCAGTTCCACAGCCACAAGGAAATGAATTCTCTCACTGGAACATAAGACCGGTTTAAGCCATTATCAGTCATTTACATCTCAGGGTCCATGAAAGATTTAAGAGGAGGTTTGGTAGAAAAGTGGACCAAAGTGTCTGACCTTGAAGGGGATGACTGCTCAGATTTGAGGGTGAGTGTGTGACAGGGAAGCTTGGCTGGACACAGACTTCTCAGTCATCACTGTTTTGCCTGGGTCTTGGCCATATTAAGTGTCTCCCGTACTTGGTGCCTGTACACTTCATGTCTTAAGAATGATCTGATGGGGAGAGGTATGTTTGTATGACCCGAAGGAGCAGAAAGAAGGATGGAGCTCAGTCACCGAGACATTGAAAAACTCTACATTGATGCTAATGATGGTAGCATGCAGGCAAAACCAGAGAAGGCAAATCAGGGCAGTTGGTGGGCCCAGTGGTAACTGAAGCCATGGGAAATTTGCATCCTCACTCAGCTGAGCTCACCTTTCCCCTGTAGCCTCAGCATCGGCCTTCTGAGAGCGCTCTGATTCAGATGCAGAGCCTGAACATTTCTTCTCACGTCCCCAGGAAGGGTCTAAAGAGGGGCTGTGTGTGGGGGTAGGGAGGAGGCCAGGGACCAAGGCTCAACTCGCAAGGGGGCTGACCAGAGGGGTCAGAATGCAGCCAGTGCTCTCGGGCTTCTTCATGCTTCTCTTTGTCCTGCTGTGCCTCCTGGGAATCCTGGCCAACGGCTTCATTGTGCTTGTGCTGAGCAGGGAAAGGATGCGGCGTGGGAGGCTGCTCCCCTCTGACATGATCCTCCTCAGCTTGGGCGCCTCCCGCTTCTTCCTGCAGTGGGTCGGCATGGCGAACAGCTTCTACTACTTCCTCCACCTGGCCGACTACAGCACGGGTCCCGCGCGGCAGTTCTTCGGTCTCCACTGGGACTTCCTGAACACAGCCACCTTCTGGTTCAGCTCCTGGCTCAGTGTCCTCTTCTGCATGAAGATCGCCAACTTCACCCACCCCACCTTCCTCTGGCTCAAGTGGAGGTTCCCAGGGTCAGTGCCCTGGCTCCTCATGGCTTCTCTTCTGATCTCCTTCATCGTCACCCTGCTCTTCTTTTGGGGAAACCATGCTGTGTATCAAGGATTCTTAATTAGAAAGCTTCCCGGGAACATGACCTTCAGACAGTGGAGCAGGAGACTGGAAATTCACTATTTCTTGCCCCTGAAACTGATCACCTTGTTCTTTCCTTGCTCTATTTTTGTGGTCTCAATCGCACTGTTGATTAATTCTCTGAGGAGACACACTGGGAGAATGCGACTCAGCGCCCACAGCCCACAGGACCCCAGTGCCCAGGCTCACACCAGAGCTCTGAAGTCGCTCATCTCCTTCCTCATTCTTTATGCTCTGTCCTTCGGGTCCCTGATCATTGATGCTGCGGGTTTCTTCTCCTCAAAGAGTGACTGGTACTGGCCGTGGCAGATTGTAATGTACCTGTGTACATCTGTCCATCCGTTTTTCCTCATCCTCAGCAACCTCAGGCTTCGAGGGGTGTACCGACAGCTCCTGCTGTTGGCCAGGGGCTTCTGGGTGGCTTCCCAGAAGTGACTCCGGAAGGGTGATGTAACCCGTGCCCACTTACATGGAAATAGCTTTGGAGGTATCTCCTGGATTCTACTCTGGGTTTCCTCCTCTGGGAAGGAGAGGAGGGGAGTCGAATCTGGGGATTCTCTGAGCGAGATTCCTTCCGTGGGACACTGTTAAAATGGAGCCGCACAGGTCCCAGAGAGCCAGTATTGTCCAGCAGTTCAGAATACAAAATTCTGTCTGTTCTCTATTTCATGTCGCCCCTGTTATGTGGCAGCTTCTAGTTCAAGAGACTTGATTAACAGTCCATGCGATCTCACCGACCTCGCAGGGGATGAAGAGAAAATGCGTCTGTGGCTGAGCTGCAATGTGGGTGGGGAAGAAGCAAGGCCTTGAGGATAATGTATGGGTTCCCATGGGAGCCCTGGAGGACAGGAGTTGGGGGGCCGACAGTGGTCAGGGCTGTGATGTCGAATGGCCCTCCCGTCTGTGCGGATTCTTTTTCTCTCACCACACTTGGATAATTCGGTTTTAATTTTATGAAAACTACTTTCTTTCCTTTATACCAACGCCTCTCTTATTATTATTTCCACTGTTCTGCTTTCAGTTTCCCCCCTCTGAAGTCTAAGTGGCAGCCAGACTTTTTCCATGTTTATTCTTCTTTAGAATCACACACTGTGATTTTCTCTATCTTCAAATTGCCTCTGGAACTTTTTTTCTTCCTTAAGCAAAAGTCACAAAGTCACATGTAATGAATAAACATGTACTTTTAGTTCTGAAACACAAAGACTTGAGAGTTTCTCTTAGTTTGTATCCCAAAATCATTTAACCTCTTTATTTTTTTTTTAAGAGAGAGAAAGAACATGTATGCACAAGCAGGGGATGGGCAGAGAGAGAGCGAGAGAGAGAATCTCAGTCTACATTTCCACTGCTTTAAAATGCTACCTTTTATCATTACTAAATTCATATATATATATGTTTATTTCCTTTCTATTCTGTCTTACTACCTTGGTATAGTCATGTGCCAGTACCACAATATTTTGACTATTTTAGGTTTATGATGTTTGAATGACTGGTAAACTAGTTCTTCATTAATCTTTTCTAACTTTCTTGGCTATTATTTTTAGAATAATAGTGTCTAGTCCCAAACAATTCCTTCTTAAGAAAATTATGTTGGATACTATTAAATGTATAATTCAATATAAGGAGAAATACATATCTAGGGTGTTTAGTCTTCTATTCAAGAATATGGTATGCTTTTCCATTTATTCAAGATTAACCAAGATTTATTCAGTAGGTTAAGTGTCTGACTCTTGGTTTGACCTCAGGTCATGATCTCACAATTGCTGTGAGATGGAGCCCCATGCTGGGCCCCGAATTGGGCTCTGAGCTGGGTGTGGAGGTCACTTAAGATTCCATCTCTCCCTCTGCCCCTCCCCCACATGCTCTTCCCTCACACAAAACAAAACAAAATAAAAAACTATTTGAGATTATTATTATTACTTTCAGTAGTGTTTTAATTTTTTAAAATATAGGTCTTACATGATGTGATGGGAATTCCTAGGTGTAATTAACCCTTTATGCCTTCATTTCCTGGCACATTCACTTAGGTAATAGCAACTGTTTCAGAGTAACTGCAAAGATTGATGTAGATAATATATGCACATGACACATTAGTATTGATCATAACTTGTTAATAATACTTATAGTACTGCATAGTTAATATTATTTTAAGAATTATGTTCTGTATCTGCATCAGCGCACAAAGAGCAGGGAAACCTGAGGATGGCAAGGACCTTTCTAGCCACCAGGAAAGACCAGCGTTTCTTTTCTTTCTTTGGCTCCTCTTGGTTTTTTTCCCATTCTTTCAATTTTTTTCAACTGCTAAATGAGACTAATGTGCTAAGCGTGAGTGAGATAAAGAAAAACCATTTGTAGTGGATAAGAAATCACTGAGAAGGGACTCTGAAGGAGGGCACTGGAGACTCACCAGGGGGTGTGGCTCTCACAGAATAATTCACTTAAGTAGCTTTTTTCGGTTAAGTTTTTATTTAAATTCCAGTTAGTTAGCACACAGTATAATAGTAGTTTTAGGTATACAATATAGTGATTCGATACTTCCACACATCAACTGGTGATCGTCACAACAAGTGCCCTTCCTTAGTCCCCATCACCTCCTTCACCTCCCCCCATCACCCCTCTGTTAACCAGCAGATTGTTTTCTATAATTAAGAGTCTGGTTGCTGGTTTGTTTTTCTCTTTTCCCCTTTGTTCATTTGTTTTTTATTTTTAATTATAAAATTTTACTTTTTTAGTTGTGCAAACAGGGTACATAATTAATAGGGCTGATGGAGGTCTATAATTAAGGTACATAATTAAGAGGCACCTGGGTGGGTCAGTTCGTTAAGCATCCGACTCTTATTTTCAGCTCAGGTCCCGGTCTCACAGTTTGTTGGAGTTGGAGCCCTGCGTTGTCTCTGCATTGACAGACAGTGCAGAGCCTGCTTGGGATTCACTGTCTCTCTCCTTCTCTCTGCCCATCCCTGCTCATGTGTGCATGCATGCTCTCTCTCAAAATAAACAAATAAACAACAACAAAAAAAGAGGGTTGATGGTGAGAGAGTCATTACCCCATACATATAAAAGATAAAAGAGCGGGAGAGTACCGAGTGCACTTGGTTATGGGTGCCCTCCCGCCACCCTCCCAGAAAGTCTCCCTGGATGCTAATGGGCTCATCTGCTGATGGGCAGGTGGGCTACGTTTACATCCTGGGCAGCTACTCTAACGGGTTCACTTTCTGCCACACTGACAAGGACCCTCAGGACACACAGTTCACACTCCTGACTGGGAATCCACCCTGAGGAACGAGGGGAGCAGCCACCGACACGGCTGAGCCAGCCTGGCAGTGTCCACACTGAGCATCACAGCAGTTGTGGAGGGTGGTCACTGGCTCGTCCGCAGAGCGGGTCTGAAGCTGCATGAAATGGGCACGAGGGTGTTCGCATTTAGGATATGACTCTGCAGTAGAGTCCGCGTTCTCCCAGGCAGCTGCTCCACAAGCGTGTTGTCCACTTCTTTCACTTTGGACACGTCCGGGGTTTTACCTTGTGGGTGACGTGCATGTAGGGGCAGGTGTCGCAGGCGAAGTGGTGGCGGCTCTGTCCTCCCACGATGCACCCATGCCTGCGGCCGGGGCAGAAGCAGCATGGTGGCCGACTGCCCGGCAGGCCTGCACAGCCTCTGGTACCGACGCTGAGCCCGTCTCGAGCTCACTGTTTTGTTTCTTAAATTCCACATTTGAGTGAAATCATGTTATTTGTCTTTCTCTGACTGACTTCTTTCCCTTAGCACTTAAGTAGCTTTTGGCATCAGCTAAGGGAGGCAAAAAAAAAAAAAAAAAAAAAGCTATTTCGTTTTTTCTTTGAAGACATAGAGGGGAAAGAAGAAAACGAAACAGGAATAGTAAGAGTTACTAAATATTAGCTGTTATCTTAAAACTTTATTCCATATTATGTGTTGTTATGTTGCTATATTGAGCTGTTCTATTGAGGAAAGAAACGAAAAGACTAAGAAAATACATCGGAGACCAGATTGAATCAATGAGAAATCAGACTGAGTGGTGGACCTTAGACCATGTGCTAGACCTTCCCCAGCCCCCTTCTGGTAGGTAGTGCTTCCTAAGGCAAAATCCAGTTCTGTGGTATCAGCAAAGCTGAGCTAAAACCCATCTTATCAACCAGTGGCAAACATCACAGTTCACTACTGAAGGTTTTATGAAAGCAATTTTGTAAAATTTAAAAACACAATGAAAAAATGTATGTGAGGATGTATTAATGTTTTGGCAGGCTCCAGATTGTTTGTGAATATATTTTGTTAGCAAATAGTTTTGGAGTGCCTACCCGTAGACAGCTCTCTGTGCTGAGGGTAAAGTAGTGAGCACTACAAATGTCATTTCTGTCCCCATGGTGTTTATAGTCTTGTGAGGCATCAGGGGCAAAACGAGCAGATCATTACAAATCCCTGAGGAGGTGATAACATGGTGGATGAGATGACATGTGAACACACAGTTCCAGGGGCTTGTCGGCACAGAAGCCTGTCAGTGAGTTCCAGGCTGAGCACTCTGCTCTCTTGGAGTGGGTATTCCTGGTCGTGTGGTTGCGCGAAGCGAAGAGTGCTGTATGGGCGCGAATTTTGTTCCAGATAGAAGAGGTTACCACTGTCCCGGCAAAGCAGGAGGTCTTGCCGTAGGGATCCTCCGCCATGTACATTCCCGGGTCTGCTCCAAATAGCCATACAACAGTGTTCCCTCAGGCCCCTTACTCCCTCCTTTGACTCTGAGTGACTCTAGAAATACTCTTCTAATAAAGTTCCCAGCTTGGAACTGAGTTTCACTCTCTTGGACTTCATGCATTGATTTATTCTCGATGAAAAAGTATGAAGCCTTTGCCAGGCTAGTGCCTTTGGTGAGGCTCATACCTGTTTTGTGAGTCAGTATTAGAAAAGCAAACTCAGATCCCTCCTTAGCCAGGATGGGACCTGTCTAACCAGAGGTTGCCTCTGGAGACATGGGGTGACATCAGAAAAGCAGGCTTGTTATCAGAGGTGACGCTTACAGAAACACCAAGTAAGTAAGCTCTGTTGGGTTTTGCTCAGTCTTCAGCCTGTTGCTCAAATGGCATGCTTATCTTTTCATTTAAAAAAACAAAAACAAACGGAAAGCAGAAGGCACATTACAGTTATACTCTTTGTTCAAGTCTCAACTTCAAGATCTGTTCACTTTTACTTCTAACATTTCCTTATATTTTAAAAAACTTCTGGTCTGCATTCTTCCCAATTCTTTTGGTCTTGAAACCTGCCTTACCTACCTGGTCTGTGAAGTCTGCCAAATTTGAGGAAGTTGAATTACAGGTCCTTTATCCATTTTGAGTTTATTTTTTGTGTATGGTGTGAGAAAATGGTCTAGTTTCATTCTTCTTCATGTTGCTGTCCAGTTTTCCCAGCCCCATCTGTTAAAGAGGCT